TTTTGTAAATGTAAAAATGATTTTTAATTTTTTGCTGACAGTGCGTGTATGGAATAGTATAGAAATATGGAATTATAGTGTACTGAATGTGGACATTTGAGAATTTAATTTCGAGATTTTTTTGACTCTTGTAGTCGAAATTGTAAGGAATCATAGATTAAGTCGAACTGAGTTGGTGGCCTAAGTAAACTGATCAATAACCGAACTGTGTAAAGCTTGCAGACTATCTTGAGTTCAAAACCTATTTTACTCTAAGTTGATGATCGTATATGATGAATTGTAGTTCAAATCCTTCCTTAAGATTCGGCTTATGTTAAGCATTTGCTAGTACGGCAATGCATCTTCATCAACGAAGAAACTAAGAAGCGATAGACATTGGACATCATTTATGAATGACCAGAAACGAATCGTCACAAAAAATATCCATAAAATCACATCTCACCTTAGAGTATAATAACGCTGACTAGGCATCACTTTAGTCAGCTGTTTTAGTCACTTTTTTGACCCGATTTTTCAGTTGTTCCGGTAGGTTTACTATGCTCATACTCAATCTCATCTTACCACGAAATAAATGACCTCACTAACCGTAAACCATACTGACTTACTTCATGCTGATTTCACAGTAATAAGTTTCAACATCCATCAGCATCAGCAAAATCATTCAAATATTTCAAATCAAAAATCTGACGAAACAGTTCCAAGAGAATCACACGAAAGCATGAATCTTGTGAGGAAAAAAAAATCAGCATGTCGCATAAGTCTCTTAATTCCATGTCTGTAGTGACATAATCTCATATCTCACATGCCATGACACGGAGATTTTATTCAGCTATTTAAAAATATAATGGATATGCCCAAGCTATAATTATCATGTACTTAAGCATGAAATTCCTTTAGAAATGCTTCTTTTTTTGTGGAATGTGGAATGAATTATGCTGCGGATCTGATGTGGGTTTATGATTATTTGCCAAAAAAAAAACAACATATGAGAAGCTTATAATGCAACAATTACAATAAAGTAACTCCATTAACAATTATACGGTGTGTCCAAATACTTTCGCATGTATGCTCTTGTCTGTTGTTTGGGATTTTCATTGTTGCAGAGATGAATTTTTTACTTATTATTATCTCATTCATTTATATCCATAATGAGCACATCAAAATGAATAATTCACTCATGATTAGTTGTTTTTTGGTACATACTTCTCATTTTTTTATAATGCTTGCTACTCATATGCATACTTTACAGTTGATTTGCAATTATTACATTTTGTGCTGCATTGTTTGAGCTCATTTTTTTTTATGAAATTACTTGGGGGCTAATGGAGATAAAGCTGACATTTGTTAGGGAAATTTATGGATTTAACAGCTGTGATTATCAAACTAGCCTTTTAAGTTGTCGTGGTGACAAACTTTTTTAAGGGTTTATTGGATTTAATATCTTGTATTGAGGCATTCTCTCACAACATCTTTTTCACAAACTTCCAACTTAATTCACAGTCCAGACAACCCGTAAGGTAAACAGAAAAACATCACTATGGAAATATGCAAGTATGGCATTGTCAATCACATGTTATCCGTCTTCACAAAATACACGAAAGTTAAGTACTAGCAAATTAAAGTTTCATAAGTCTCACGATAACAATAACATGACATTGTTAAGCGATCGTTGTAGCTTGTTATAATTAATATAGTCAACTAGTGACTCGTGGAGGATGGAGATTGGGATCATTAAAATCCAATTGCAATTTTTTTTACTCGAATAATAGTTCAAGCTGAATCTTTTTTATGTCATTTTAAGTTTATATCTGTGCGTACGGTACGATTTTTATTGTGTCAAGGAATGTAATTTGTGGCGACTTGGAATTTACATTAAAAATATTTTTTTGTGTTGTTGCTGTATTTTATTGCATTTTAAACAACACATAAGTCGCATTGCAGCATTGTGTGTTGAGTTATTATGGATGCAATCTATGTATGTACGGCGACTGCTCTAAATTATTATGCAGATCAGGATTGATTTATTATGTTTTAAATGTTACTGCATTCGTCAGACTTCCTCGCATGTGTAGGGAAATTGTGTCGGAAATTGACTGGGTTAAGGTACTAAAGAGGTGTCTTGTTGGGATTTTTCGAGGTTATGTTTAATTAGGGTTAAATTTTTTAGAATTTTCTATTAAAATAATTTTCTAGCCTTACAGATTCAGCTCAAATTGACCTTATCTTATAAACAAAAACTCTTAAAAACTTTCAGTAGCTTAAATAAAGCAAATTTAACTGCAGATTTATTGAGAAAAAAAAAAGGAAAATGATGAAATTTTTTTCTCAATAAACTCTGCAGGGAGTAAACATGAGTCACATTAAAATCTATATTGCTTAATTTTTCAAGTAAATAATTGAAGATTTTGATTCATGGTTTACATTTAGAATTGAAATTAAGTATCTACTGAAAAATTGATGAAAATCGTTTAAGTGAAAAATATATATTATAGAGCTTTTCAAGGAGAACGTGAAGATAATTGAGTTATTTTTGGGATTTTTGAATATTTTTTTTTGGAGTTTTAGAATATTGCTCTGGAATAGGATTTTAAGTTGCAGTTAATGTTAAGCAAAAGTAATAATTCATTTCATAAAAGTTGAAGTTTGTAATTTAAATTCTGGTTCGAAACCCGCTAATTTAAAATTGACATTTTAAAATTCTCTTGTGCGCTTTCTAGCTATTTTTTCAAAAATTTTTAACATTGTTTTTCTTGACATGAGCTTCTCCGAAGACGAAGGAAGATGTATTGTAAATTATTTCTCAAATAGAAATTAAGTTATCGTGACTTTCAACTTAATTTTGATTAAAATCACACCCTTGGTTCTTGCTGACTGGAGAATCGAGTACCGAGAGTGCCTAAACCATCCAAAAACTCTTTTTATTAATACCAAATCCACCATTCTCATCCGAAACAAGAACAACATCCACAACAACAAAAACAAACATAATAATCATCATCAACATCGTAGTAGAGTCTATTTTTATATTTATAAATAGACATAAAAATACTCTTGCGGGTGCCAGCAATACGGAACATTAAATGCAAGCAATTTTCATTTTCTTCTTTTCTTCTATTGCAATTTTGTGGAACAACTTTTTTTTTTGTATTTAAATTAAGAAAATTTCTTTTATTGATTCGGAAGCACAGTTATCAATTTCTTTTGTTGGTTTTCATCACAAGGTTATTTTTTTGGAGAGTAAAATAATATTTTATTGAGGTTTTTTGAGAGGAGGGATTTTTGGTGGATTTTATTTTGACAAATCTGAACTTTTGTAATTTTTGAAAATTTAATTTTAAAAAAGCGGAAGTACTTTAAGTAGCAGCTTTTGTCAAATTAAATTATCAATTGTAAATTAAAATTTTAAAAAATTTTCATTGAAAATTACTGAATTGAGTTCGAGTCTCAAATTCGTAATAATAATATTATATGTGTAAAAATAGAAAAAGCTACTGTTTTTTTTTCAAATTTTTATCAAAAATCCATCAACCTCCCCTCACACTCAAAAACCTCAGCATAGAACATCCATAAAAAAATGTAAAATTTTTCATTACTTGCTCTTCTATTCTGCTTATTTTTTTGATTATCAAACATCAGTTAAATTCATGACAACAATTAGCACTAAGCACTTCAAACACATTTATCACTAATTGGAACTGACATCAGAGAGTCAGCTAATGAGGCATATTCTGTATAATTTTTTTTTCTCTTCCAACTTTTGCCTTGTAAAATATTTCACAAAACTTTAAAATCCACAAATTATTTTAATTTTTTTTTATTGTTGTGCGATTACAAATTATTATTACTTTTTTTTCTATTTAAATGGAAGCACACAGACGACAATAAAAAAATAATTCTTTCAGTTCCACACGCAAACCGACGAGCAGAAAAATAATCAACCGACTATCTCACAACGACCGTAACTCAATGAATGAATGAAAGATATTTTGTGTTCAGTGTGAGAATGCGATGCGATTGAGAGACATTGTGAGAAGAATGAGAGGAAAGAGTGTTGTGAGTTCTGTTTGCATGCAGACATGAGAAACATTTTCATTATTTTTTTTCGTTCTTTGTTTGTTGATATTTTGTTACACAAATACACCTACAAAGATTATTTTTGGAGATTCTCGGCATTATTTTGAGATGTTATATCTGACTGATCATGTTTGTCAATAAGAAATTGAGAAGAGAGGATACAATAATGAGGATCTGAGGTAGGTTGAATAAAAATGAGTGGAAAATTAAAATTGGAAATTTTTGTGAGTTTTTATGTTTGTTTAAGTAAGATTAATGCTAGTTGTTGTTTATTAGAAATGTTGTAGCTATTACTTATGATAAAAATTTACAAAAGTCAAGAATTCGAATCTCAGATTCAGAAAAATTAAATATTAACTCAATGAATTAATATAAAAGGTTTTTGAGCATCTTTTTTGCTAAGTTCGAAACTTATTTTTTTTGGAAATTTTAATCCTCACTTTCTTCCCTCTGAATCAAGTTCAAAGAAACAACTTTCATCATGCAAACATTAAAAATAATCTACAATGAGTGTTTGCTCATCTCTACTCGTGTCACTCTTTTCTCATTTCTTTTGTTGACTTTTAATTACTAACGAAACATCGCTTTTTTATTGTTTCACAATTGTATACATAACGAGGCTTATACTGTAGAGTTGGAGATGCAAACAGATTTATTGGGTCATAGAGTTTTTTTTTGTTTTGTTTCCTATAATTTAATTTAATTTCTCAATTTCGAGAAAGACTTTTATTTAATGTTCGATGTTGATAATTAGCATCTTTTATGCAATTAAGTGTAATGGAATCGATATTTATTGCAAAATTGTGCAAGACTGTCACTTATATAAAAGCTAATTAGATAAATAATTAAATCTGATATTCAATTTATTGAAATCCGCGTATGGTAATTGGAAATATGGGATTGTCTTGTCACCTTTTTTCTATGATTCATGGATTTATATTGATGATTAGTGGACGTTTTGCAACTGTACTGGTTTTTATAGTTTGCTGGAGATTGGCTAAGGTTGTTAATAGTTTTTAATCACTGATTTATGTATCTTATAGACAAGGATTACTTTGTTATGCTGAAAAGCATGAAAATATATTTTAAAATTTATAAAAAAAAAGGAAACAACAGAGGAATTAACAATTGAAAGAAAGTTTTTATAAAACAATATTGAGAATCGAACTCATGAATAATCATGAATTTTAATCAATTTATAAAATTTAAACTTCACAATCTTCAGAATTAACAAAACAACAACTAAACCTTAGCCACAAACTCGACAAAATCAAAGTACAATTTCCATTTCAACTAGTGTCGATACAATATCCAAGTGTCAATACAATTAATTCAGTACAAAAAACTTCCTATTGAAAATCAAAACTTTTTTATTATAAAATTGCATAATCTGCATTGAATAATGTTAGCTTTATGTTATTATTAGACATATTAAATTATGAATCAAGCTCACATATTCATCAAACTTTGTATTAATATCGTCAAAAAAAACTATACTTTTGCTATAAAAAAGTACTTTGATCATTGAATTAATATCTGTTTTGACATTTATGTGTCTACATGTATAATTTTCATATTTTTGATAGCCGACAATTTCAATTTTGATCATTATTAACCTCAATGACATGAAAATTTGCTAGAACTGATTTTTTGAGTAGTTTTTTTCGGTCAATGAAATTGTAATTTTGGTGATGATTTAAGGGCAACTTATAAACCTTCAGAAATGTCATTCAAAATAGAAATTCTTTTAAAATTTCATATACCACTAATTATCAATAGGTCAGTAGCTGATCACTCAACACTATAATCCCACTAATGATACCCGCCACACAACCCAAAACATAAAGTCACTTAAAAACTCATAATGAGCTTAAAAACATCTTGAAGTAATGATTTCTGTAATTTCATGCCTCTGATTCCATCGCAGTGGTCAATTTGTAACTAAACGGCTTATAAGAAAATTTATGAGTTTTATGATCGTTGCCAAATTTGAAATAAGCGGTATTTTGTCAGTAAAATCTGGTAAAAAATATATTTTTGTGATGAAAATTAAGGCATAACTGGATTAAATATTGTGGAAAATAATATTAGACTAGATTAGATGTGTAATGATGTGGGATTTTTTGGAGTGAATTTGTTGACAGTTTCATCATTCATGTATGATGATTAGTAATTATTTGATGAATGAGTTAAAACCCCATTGGACCCATCTATAGCTATAATCATGACATTAGACCTTTATTATTGAATGAACCCTTAAAATATATGATCTTTTTGATTGAGGGTTATATATTTACCCATCCTAGATTCCCACTCTCTTCTAAATAAGAGATCTCCACCCCCCTTTACAATACATTTCATAAAAAAACATTCAATAGTTCCCCAACAACTCAAAACACCAATCATTCAGCATAAACAACACAATACCTAATAAACAATTCATACATCTACATAAAATTATGCATAATATTACAAAAGCATAACTGGAACTATGCTTAGCTATGTTCAAAATCGCACAGTACATTTGATTTGCTTAGTCTAAATGTTCAATATTCTCTGTTATAAAATATATATGAACTTGTTTAATAAGAGAAAAATACTTAATTACTGAGAATGTAAATGCTTATGAACATTAAAACATTTTAGCGGTTTTCCTACATTATTAATTAAATAATAGGAAGTTATTGCCATCATCAATCTTATGATATAATTTGAATCTAAAAATGTTGAAAATTACCATCATCATGTGCACTTCAAATGATCTAGTCGGACTTTTAATTACCATTAAATTAGCTTAATTTATATCCATCTTAAGTATTGAAATTGATTGATCTACTTCGAGTCTATTAAGGAGAGTTGGTATAAAATTATGCAAATGAGCTTGAAACAAAGTCGACTGCTTATTTTAGTCACAGCACTTGTGCAGCATTCCCTGCCCACACTAAATCATTATTGAATCTCGGTTTCGGTTTATGTAAATTCTTATTATTGTTTCTCTGACTTCTCTAAGTTTGCAAATCGTTAGGTAAATACATAGTGTAAGTGATGCAATGATTGAGCATTTGAGGAGACGAAGATAAGTTGACTAGCTTCTGCTATTATTCACATTGCATCATGACTGTGGTGATTTAGGAGCTTAAAATCAAATGTTTTGCTATTCAATCAAGGAATCGAACCCATTGACTTTCGAGAAATTAATATCCAAACTTATAAACCTTTGCTACTCATGTAACTATACCAACTTAACCATTTCAACTAAAAAACCTATAAACCCAAAAGTTCACATCCATTGCACTAGCCAGAGAAGCTATAAAAGCGCAACAGCAAAATAATATAGGTGGAAAAATTAAATTAAATTGAGAAAAAAAGTAAATTTTATTGTCGGAGAAGAAAAGCAGCATTAACAGCCAGCACCAGCAAAAAAATGCGATTATGCAACTTTGCAGTTATTTCTCTCACTTGCTCATGTGCGGCCGTTTGGAATCATAGCGTGAAAAATGTTAATTGAAGCGATGAGAAAAATAAAAATAAAATTATGAGCATGTAATCAATTGTTCATCAGAGGCTCATATTTTATTGCTCATTCGGGTCGATATTGCGTGATTCGTACAGTTTTGTGCATTATGGGATGCCCGAAAATTCCCTCTCATTTGCACGGGTTTGCAATGATTAATTAATAAAATTAATAACAATCACATGAGTGCCTCGCAAGCTTTCAACTTTGTTAATTTTTCTTGTGAATTAATTTAACAATCGGGTTTTGCATGTCGCAAAAAAATGGAAGTTGCAAGTGCATTTGGTGATTAAATTCAGTCACTCGAACAATGAAGTAAACAATCATAATTTTAAATTAAAATGAACAATAAAAATTATTAAGGTCAAGATTAAGTGGAACTACTTTTAAAATTGCTAATTATCAAAATTTGTTTAAATTCATGGCTGTCAAGGGATGGAATTTGTTTGAAATGATTTGCTTCTGTAGCTCATATCTATTAACGTATTAGAACTAAGTTATTACACTAGTGTCGAAAATCTCAAATACCGTAGGTTCAAATCCTACGAAACTCAATACAATAATATTGTTGGATTAAATTATTTGTTACTTTTTTCTACTTCCAAAATTTATTTGAAATAACAGCTACAACAAGTTACTAAACAATTCGCACAATCAGTGCCATACAGCTCCAAATGCATAAACTGATAAATTAATTGCTTTACTGTAATGTCACATTTTAATAATCAGCTTAGAATATTCATTTTAAATTTCACTTTATTCCTTATTGAGGTCAATATTTCCTCAAACGCTTTCCATTGTCTATCCATATTATTTTTGCAAAAAAAAAAATTTATCAACGGAATGGCTATTTTTCAACTACATGTCAGTGAGGTTCAATAAAAATATAAAATGTACGGCTCCATTTTATTGACGTTTGATTTCCTCAATAAATTTTATTATTTGTCATGCACAAATAACACTTTTTCTTCGTGTCACATGATATAAAATGATTTTTTTTGCAACTCACCTAAACAACCTTGCAGTGCTGTATTCAGCTCAATATTTGATGAATTGAAGACCATTTCGTCTTCAGCCTCTTCATGAATAGTTGATGGAGATGGTTCCCAAATGGCTTTTCGTGTACGCGGTCGTGACTCACTTGATCGTCCATCAAGTCTGATGCGTGGCAGTTCCGCAAAGAATACATCTGCTAGCTATTTAATTTGTAAAAGTGATTTGAATTTAATTAGTTTTATTGTTTGGGAGAATTTTGTGGAAAAATGAGGATTAAGAGTTGTAGCAATTTGACGGATTGTCTAGCTTTGCTGAATTCAAACGAGCTGAATTTGCTGAATTCAGCTGAGCTGAACTTGTTGAATTTAGCTACAACTCTTTAAAAATGCGCTCCATTCATCCTCATTTCCAAAAATATTTATAACTTATCAAACTTATAAAACAAAAATAATTAAAAACAGTCAAAATTAAGTTTAGAAAATCGAAAGAAAATTAAGCAATGATGTACCATAAGAAATGAACAAAAGAAGGCAAATTAATTCCACAAATCAACTCACCCTGATTTCCCGATTTGGTGTTACGGGAATTATCTGTGATTTTTATTATAATTTAGATTTGTGTTTATTTCATTTCGTGTGTTAATATTGATAGAGAAAAAGTTTTCATTTAGAGATAAACAAGACAAGACATAAGAAGGGAAGGCATGGAAGTAGACAAAGAAATTATTGTATTAAGTAAATTTTCCTAGAATAATTTTCTGCACACATTAATCTCATATGTTGTTAATAGTGAGGGTGTGTGGTGAAAGACAGGAGATGAAATTTAATTTACACTTGATTGCACGTATTTTTTTGTACACAAAATATTAGGTAAATAAGAGGATGACTCACCGATAGTTCCTCGGAGCAATATGCTGTGAATGTTTGTTCCTCTTGTTGGAGAACACAATAAAAGGGAGACCAAATTAAATTTCTATTACACCTGAGGTCATCGTCAGATTCTGAAATTAAATTGATTGAGAAATTTGAGGTTAGAATTTTTGGGTTGCTTTGATTAAAGTGGTTTGTGTGAGAAATGCGCATATTTTACAAATATATTCAGCTTCAAACTGCTGAATTCAGTCAATTCAGTACTGCTGAATTCATCCAATACAGCGAGTAAAGCAATGCTGAATCAATCGAATATACTATTATCGTTTAAAATCTGTACCAAGCTACTCCTTAATAATCTCAGACACGAGTCGATGTCAATAAAAACTTAAAAATTAACAAAACTCCCATAAAATCCCTCGACCAATGACCAAAATATAAAAAATTACTGGAAAAAGACAATATAAAGTAGTAAAAAAATTTTAGTGACAAATATTTGATACCCACGACAAAAGTCGTTAACAGCTTATAAAGTAAGTTTAATATCTCTTCAATTGTCTTTTTTGATGCTTAAGTCATGAAATTAAGTCCGACGTTTTTATGGCTCTTAAAATGTCGACATTCTTGTATTGATTATGGATGATTGAAGATGGCGATGAAGATTTTGTAGCTGCTTTTTTTCTGGTAGTAAATTTACGCATATCTGAAGCATCATCATCACTCTTAAAACTATTCGAAGCATTTTAAAATCCATAAAATATTTTGATAACAATCTCAAGCTTACTGTAGCTTCAAAGTACACTTGAATGTGACTTATACAACTCATAAAGTTAAGTTGTTTACGATACAGCCAATGCTAACACCTAATCACAATTCTATCGGATACGAATCGCGTAAAATATCTTGGCAGATAAATTTATTTCTGTAGATTAAGTATCCAACTTCTTCATATTTTAAATCTGTTAAATCACCTCAAGGCTTACATTTAAATCTCGAATAATACGCATTGAAATGCTTTATAAAAATTACTTCATGCCCTTTTTATTTGAACAAACAAATTTGTTCCAATTTTCACTCTATTTGATTTTTAAAATTTGCCCTGCAGCAAACACGATACAGCTTCTATGTCTATACTGCCTAGAGGGCTTTGTAGCATCCATTTCACTTCTTTTTACACTTTTTTTTTTTATCTTTTTTGTTGTAGACAATTTACATTCATTTGAGTGTGATGAATAGAAGAATAATTTTGTTTGGAGAACAAAGTGAATTTTTGGAGCATTTTTGAAGAGTCAATTACTTCTTTGTAGTCTTGATAAACCAAGCTATGGGTCGGGAAATGAAAGTAAAAATTTGAAGTAAATCTAAACCAGCAACTTAATTTCTTTGGAGCTTCAAAATTTGATTTTAGCTTGACATTAGCGAGGTCCCTTCTTCCGCTATCAACCTTACCTCCCCAATCTTTATCAAAGCTACTCCATATTGCTCTATAAGAACAAAACTACTTTAAATAATTTGTATACTCAAAAAACTCACTCAAAAAGGCCTCACGTGAGGTGTGAATTAATCGTCAATCAGCAAATAATATTAATATTAATAATATCCGCTCAAGGTGCAACCCAAACACATCTACATATGCCAATATTTGTAACACAATTTATGTAAGAAGCTTAAAAACTTTTACTGTATATATTAAATACAATTGAACTAAACCCAATCATCATTACAGATCGCTTCCATATGCTATCAAATAATTAGGCAATTAATCATATTTTAAATTCACATGGAGATTATAAGATAGATTCAATAAACAGAGAAAATCGTTTTATGCAGCCACACTCAAAATATTAAAATTTTTTTTATCTTAAACGGAAGATTTTGTGTTATTTGAGAGCGAACAACTGTCTGGAGTGAAATTTATTAATGAAAATAAACAAAAGAAGCAGAATCAGGTCGACTGCATAGAAAATGGATGAATTTTGATGAGCCACAAAAACAGCGGGTCGTCAAAATAATAATTTGGACATTTTGATGATTTTGTGAAGTAAAATAACAATGATTGGTGCTGAACAAGCAGGTTAGAAATGACAGTAATTATATTTGTCAGTTCTTGGTAAAGTTTGTGATGATTTGAAGAACTTTTTTGTTAATTAAGAGTTTTTTTGAGATGCATTTTGAAGTTTATTTTTATTTTTTAAGTCATTAAGTCTCGTTACTGGGAAGCTGTTGATTTTAAGGTCTGCTGAAGATTGCCTAAAAGTTCAATAATATGTTCTAGTTGAGACAATTATAATTTATATACACTGAATTTATGGATTTGAATCCAGACCCTTATCTTTAAAATTTGAATTAATCTTATTAAGGTCGACCTTAGTCGATCTTATGAAAAGATAATAATTAAAACACGAAATTTTCTTACAATTTGTATCAATTCATTAAAAACTTATTTATTTCTTTTATCTCACATTTTAATTTCCTTCAATTCACCAAAAGTGGATTTAATTCTTTGATTCTCTAGTATTTCTAAGTTTTAAGCAATGTAGAGCCTTAGCACTTAAATACAAGCTATTGTTTACTATAATCCTATAAATGCCATCATATCCACTTGCTTAAACCTTAAAACTAGTTGATTGTGTCTTTTTTGAGTACTCAAAAAAAAGTTTATGCGTTCATCAATTAAATAATTCCTAGCAACAAATAAAAATTGTTTATAATTTAATAACTACTTATTTCCCACACATCACGGGAATGGCCCATATCCACTAATGACTAATTGCTTTTCTTAGATTTCTTTTTCTTCTTTTCCTCTATAAAGTCCGCGAGGTCATCGATTTCTTTAGCATCAATGAATTTATCAGCCTTTCCTTCAGTCTTCTTGACTGGCTGCTTACTAGTCTCATTATTTAACTTTGCAATCAAGTTCTTGCCAACCTCAAAGACAAGCTCTTGCTTGAGGAAGACAAATGCGACCATGAAGATGAGCAAAAGTGCAGCAAGTGAATTTTTGTTCAACTCTGTCTCTGATTGCTTCAAAATTGGATTAAATTCAACCTCAAAGTAGATGTTGGTTGTATTAGCTGTGAACTGAATGGACGGCAATTTATAGTTGTAATTTTTCTCACTCAACGTTGTCGTGAATTCAATGAAGAAAACTTTATAGAAATCATTAGCATTAATGCGTGGCAAAAAGACCATAATGTCATCATTGTGTTTACTCTTTGGCATCATAAGATTCTCAATACGTTGAGTATAGACAGGAGAATCTGGTGATTCCTTTCTATACATTTGAATCTTGAGTGTCTTGTAATGATCATTAGTTTTTGATTTTATCTTGACAATCACATCACAAATATTGATTGGATTGATGGCAATGAAGTTGACATTTTGTGCATCGGTCGTATCCACATGAACCATCCTTTCTGATGGCAATGAACGATCAACATTGGAATTTTTCTGTAATCGAATTTTATAATCGCAGCCAGTTTGTAAGCCACGAATTCTATATTGTCCATTGAATTCTGTTGTTGATTCTTCTTGATGATTACTACATGCTTCTGATGTTGACACAGCTTCGACCATCACATTCGCAAATGGATCACCGCTAAGTGTCGTAATTTTACCAAATACTGAGTACGCTACACGTTTAGCACTGTAAAGAAAAGAGTAGAGAGTTAATTGGCATGGAAATTACATTTTAATAGCACTTGATGCTTACCTCAAATCGATATTCAGAGTCTCACCATCTTTAATGTCGATTGTCTGTGAGTTTGGCTTGAATTCGTATTCCTTCATCATCGCCCGCAAGAAATATTTGCCTGGCTTCAATGAATGGAATTTTATTTCACCATTGGCTGCCGTCTGAAGATTTTTGCGATAATTATCACCGCTCAATGAGATCACAGCATTTGATAGTTCTTTTGCCTCTTCGTCTTTTACTTTAACAATAATTTCACACAATTTGTGACCTTCAAAGATGTTTCTTATTGCATCATAGTCTTGGAACACATAACTTTCCTTTTCAGCTTTCAGTTCATAGTCTAATGTTGGATCGATTGTGGGAAACTTGAATTCACCGACTGCATTTGTAAGTGTCGTGATTGGTGAAAATTCATTGTTCTTTGGGAATGAAAGTGTCACAAGTGCTTCAGCGATTTTTGGTTCCGTTCTTCCGGTGATCACTAAACCTTTTGTAGCTATAAAGTTCAGAGCAACTTCAACACAGTCTTTAGCACCTTTAAGGTCCATTGATGGTGGCTTGAAAAGCATTTGTTCACTTTTTGGTGTCAATTTGACAATCTCGCCAAATTTGAGATCAAGATTAAGATTATATGCTACATATCCATCAACTCTCTCAGCTTGCTCAACAAGCTTCAACACGTCCTTCCTTTCATCCTCATATTGCACTTCAATTGTAAATTGTTCCTTCATTTCACTCAAAATTCTCATTCCATTCTTATGCTTAATGGCATTAATGTAAATTGGTTGTGTGCTCTTTGTCGATAATACTTTTGTGCTTTCTTCATAGATGTGACATCCACTAACTTTGAGATCATATGCTCCTGCTTTTGGGACACAAATATCATTTGCACCGCTTGAGAATGCGACTTTTGTTTCTTTGGATGGCTTGGTTTTGTCTGATGATTGGAATTTGTATGTACCCTAAAAATTGAATAATTTATGGATTAAAATTGTGGATGAATATGACTGTTGTAACTTCATTTAGCAATATATGGAACAATTAAAATAGAAAACTGCTAATAAATTTTGCTGACAAAAGGAAATGTAATATTGACAAGCAAGAGCTAGTAGCTACTATTTATCTAGATACTAGAATGTGTTTATGTAATCAACTTATCTGGGACACTCGCATTGGGTCCCTTCAGGAGAAATTCAAAAGAAAAAAAATTTTTAATTATCAAAAATGATAAAGTTCCATACATTCTTGCTCCTTATATAGACCACTGATTTCTGCATGCTCTTGTGAAGTATATCGGCAAAAAAATTATTCTTACCTGGACATCATGTGAAGAAATAATTGGCCCAATTTTATATCCATTCTGCACGAATTTCGGAACTTTTTCAATTGTTGATTTGACAACAATTTTATGCTGATGATTTTCCCAACATATTTTTTCATTTGGCACTGACAATTGATATCGTCCGGGTAAAATTTCTTCGAATGTGTAAATTCCGTTTGTTAATTTTGATTTTAATGATGATGTTTGGTGACCGTGCTCATCTAATGAACTTAATGTAACTTCAATATCACGACAACTATTGTCATCATCAGATAGGCAATTAACATCACCAGTTACTTTTGCACGCAGTTGTGAGAAAATTATATCCGAAACTGCGGCTGCATTGACCTCGATTGTCTGTTGAATTGGGTAGAATTGTAAGCCATTCTTGCGTTCTGATTCTTCAATTTCTACTTCTAATGAATATTTGCCATTTCCTAAGAATGTGCAAAAGGAACCGCCTTGTGATGGATCTGATGTAGCATAAACAGTTCGTGATGAGTCAGTCTTTTTGATTCCAACTTTGAAGCTTGCGTCAGATACAATTTTTCCACAAACTTTGAAGCCACTGACGAAAATATCAGAGATTTTTGGATTCGCCATAGAAATTCTCACGTTTTCATCCTTGAATTCTAAGTCTGAAGCTACAACTTGGACTGTGTAACTTCCGTCCTTGATATTTTTCAATGTAAAGCTTCCATCGCTTCCTGTTGTAGCTACATTTTTGCCATCAATTTTGATTAATGCTCCACTGACTCCAACTTTCTTAGTCTCGGACAGTAAAATTCGTCCTGATGCAGTAAATCCAGTAATGGCAAATGACTGTTCAAGTTTCAAATTGTCTGTTGTGATTGCTGCTTCAATAAATGATGGACTTATGTTAAATTCAATTGAATTTGAGTCTACATAAGGAACAATCAAGTAACTTCCAGTTGCTAATTTTTCATATGCAAACTGTCCGTTCTTGTTTGCATATTGGATACAGAATGGTTGTGCTTCATATTCCTTAGAAACTGATTGCTGGATCTCAGATTTTGGTAGTTTATTAAGTTCATTTCCACATGTTAGGCTTGGTTGTTGTTTCAACTTGTTATAGATCAAGAATCCAATTTTCACAGATGGCTGAGAAATTGAGCCTTCCAAATTGAATCCAGCAACAATTAGGGATCCAGTTTCTAATTTTGTATTTCCTGTTGTGACAATTACTGGATATTCAGTCTTAGAGAATGACCATGATTGATGTGAGGCTTGGACACGATAAGATCCAGGTACGATAGGACTGAATGTAAAGACACCAGAATCGTCGGTCACTGTTGAAGCAATGACTGCATTTTTATCACTAAATAGCTTGATGGTCACGCCCTTGGCGCCAACATTAGTTGGATTTCTTTCAATGTTCACCATTCCGGTGATTCCAAATCCTCGAAATTTGAAGTTCATGTCGACTGAATGACTGCATGCTGCCTCAAAATCAAAAGGAATTACTTCAGGTTCAAATGAGTAGCCAGCCGGTGCTGACACCTTTATCGTGTAATCTCCCTTATCATAAATTGGAATAATGAAGAATCCAGTTTCGGATATTGCTGTTTTATCTTTCAAGTTTCCTTGCTTATTGAACCTAAAATGTATTAAATTGATCAATGACCTCGTTTTCTAGTGCAGCTTATGAATATTTTATTGATTTTAATGAATTTTAAGTACTTACAGTGTAACAAAAATGGAGGAAAAGTCAGACTGATCACTAAGACCTTTTACATTCCCCGAAATAGTGCAAAATTCTTCAAATTCTGCATAGACTCCTAATACTAAGAGACTAGCGAATAAAGTTAAACTTCTTATGTCCATTTCCAGTTAGTAAATGCGGCATAAAATTAATTAATAAAGTTTCTACTCGAAATCGTGACCTGAATTTTTTTTATCTCGACTGTCAAATGAGCTCTGAACCGGTTCAAAAAATGTATGACGTTTCACTTTTTCAATCCATGTATATTGAGAATTTTGGTGATTTTGAGGTTATGTTTTTGGAATTTTATGAATTAAAAAGTCAATGTCATCTCATAAATTTTGCTGAATCTTAAATTAATAATGATAAGTTATCTATTACTATATAAGACAACTTTTAAACATTCCGATTTATATAAAATTTTCCAAAATTCTCATGCTATTGCAACGTCGTATTCACCACATTTTTTCAGCTCAAATATTGAACCGATCGTTAAGGTTATGTAAATAAAAAGTTTGTTAAGCATAATAAGATTCAATTAACATTTCGGAAACATTCCAGAACGGCACACCTCATCATAAAGATTATGAAAAATTTTTTTAATGCTTCTATGATCACAATGCTCGTATAACATGTCATTTAATATGCATAAAATTGTGTATGACTTATGATTTAGCAATTTATTTAAAATTATGAGTGATGTGATTTTTTGGGGGTATTGTATGAGAGTTTTGGAAACTTGTGGATTTATAGGTTGATTAAGATTAAAGTTTGAACCTTTGATTTCTAGAGAAAAATTGACTAAGCGTGAATTGTGCATACCATTACTCTAATAGACATCAAAACTAGTTTAAAATTTAACATACAAAAGTAATATATCTAAGGAGGATGACTTTATCCTTATCTCAATTAATGTATTCGAATGTGATGAACAATTGTCAAAAACAAAATGACTGATTAAATTGTTAGTGATAATTCATCAAAATAGCCCAAAAAATTCGATATGATTAGATGATGAGCTCCTAAATGCATGATTCAATGTAATAATGACACAATTGAACTGATTGTAAGCAAAATTGTATTATAATATTTTTATTTAATCCAGAAAATATTTATAATAAGCAAAGGCAGCATTAGTAATTTCAATAGATTCATAATAATTTCCAAAAATGCGCTTTTTAATACCAATCAACAAGTCTTCTTCACCACAGCTTAATTCATTCTTCCATTACCCATATTTTGTTATATTCATACAATTAAATGTAAAAAGAAATCTTATAACAGCATCAACACAAAAGAACAATAAATGTAAATTATCGCTATAAAAAAATGTCACTAAAGGAAGGAAATAAAGAGACATAATGTTGTGTGCCGCTAACTTATGTATGTACACTTCTTTTAATTTTATTGAAACATCCTCTAAGAAGAAAACAATTTAGAAAAAAAATTCATTCTATGTGTGGAATCAGAACGTAAAATGAGAAGAAAAAAAAATCAATAAAATTCTTCTTATTTTTCTTCATTTCATTCATAACTTCTTCATCGCGTAGAATTTCTTACGCGAATGATTTTCTCTCATTTTCTTTTGCTTTCTCATCCTCTCTTCTTGTTCTAGAAACTCATTATTATGCTGAATAATATTGCTGTTATTTAATTGAACGCGTAAAGTGTGAAGATTCTTTTTATTTTTTGATTTTCATTCTAGTCTAATTTTGAATTAGTTTTCATCAAATCATGCATGAGAAATTAAGGGGTTTTTTGGATGTAGGAGATGATGTGGAACTTTGAAAAATTAGTTAAAATATCATTTTTGAAAGCTACATTTGTAAAAAATAAAATAAAAATAAATAAGTTATAATCAATATTCAAAAAAAAAAATAATATTAATCTGATCTATGAAAGACGTAGATGCATAACTGAAACAGTTTTGATTTAATAATCTTGAGAATCGAACTTCTGAATTCACTGGATTTCTCCAAACTTTTCATTTTTCTATGAATCATTTCCAGCTTAAACATCATCATAAACAATAATTTTCAAAAAAACATTTTAAAATCACCCAATTTTCATCAAATCTCACCATGTCAAACATTATGTCTCTTTTACGATGCGTGAAAACTTTATTTTATTGACTGAAATTGATGGCGTGATGAAAATAATTAAAAGATTTAATTTCCACAAATATGACTTCATGAATAATCAATGATTTCACAAACGATGTCTTTTTAATTCAATAAAATTAAATTTTTTTCTACATCAACTTCTAACTGCTTCAGGCAGTTTAAATAATGAAATGTCAACAGTTTTATATTCCTTATCTCAAGTGAAGCTAGAAGTTTAATGCAATTAAATATTTAAACGATATTCTTTAATTACTTTGCAAAGTAATTTAATTTTAAATGTCGTCGCTATCCAGTGGCTTATTATTCATAGCATTAAGAGGATTATTAGAGCTTGGAACTGTGAAATGCTGGTGGGATGGGGGTGTGGTGAGAATATATTTTTGAGGAACATATGGCATTGGATTAAAACAGTTGCTATGGAAATTTACATTAGTGTTATTCCTTATAGTCTTTCTTTTGATCTTCTCTAGCAGTCAATCTACCCATGAACTAAATTCAATCTTATCAAATTACAAAGTAGACGTAAATAATTTTTTACGAATAATTTCACAAATAAAAGCACAAGCAGCAATCAAGCATCCAATAAAAAGTATTATGAATCCACCGGTAAGATGTTCAATTTTTATTGGTTTCGGTTCATCCGACTCTTTGATATTCAAATATCTTTCATCAAATATCTCTGAATGCCAATATTCAATCAGACCGGCTGCTTGAAGTTGCTCAATTTTTTCATTTAATTGTTCAAGTAAGTAAAATCCTTTACGAACGTAAATAACAACCGGAAGAGTCAAGAATTTCTCTTTACAGATCATAAAGACGGATGTGTTGTAATTTTTTTGGTTGGAATAAAGAACGCCAGTCAGCGAGCGTAGAAATACTCCTTTGAATGATGGATCAAATGACTTATTGTAAAGAAGATTTCGTTTTTCCAAATCCATTAAGACTCGTCTATAAACAAAGAATTATGTTTGTGAGTTTTTTTGATTATATAAGATGTGGTCAGCATGTGCTTTGTAATCTAATATGAATTTGAGAATGTTTTTTTCAGTTTGAGATTTAGATTTTTGAATGTTTATAGATTTATTTTGAAGCATAACCATTTGTCAATCAAGTTCAGCACAGTTAAATTATACTTATTCAGCATTGCTGAATTCAGTTTGTTCAGCACTACTGAATTCAGTTTGTTCAGCATTGCTGAGTTCAGCTTATTCAGCAATGCTGAATTCAGATTTTTTAAATTAATAAGTAAATTCAGCTTGTTTTGAAATTATTCTTCACTTTTTACTACATCCTTTAGTATTATACTCAACAACCTCTATCCTACTTATCATAACCCATAACCACGTCACTATTCAAGCACTTTTCAACAATAAATCACTCAAATATTCTCATACTTAACTACAAAAGAACACATTGACATAGATATCTCATTAACCTCTCATAAATCCTGGGTTGACCTTCAACCAAGTCAAGAATTGATGGCACAATATAGAACTTGTAGTCACGTTCTATCATCTCGTTTATCGATTGTGCTTCCTTATGACGTATTGTTTTTTGCAAAAAGCGATAAAGTGAACCTTGATAAATTGTTCTCATTACTAAACAGAACAAAAGGAACATCATGAGGAGATATCTTGAAAAATTCTTCCCAGGCAAGACTGGCTGTGAGCCACCGACAACGGCAGTTAATACATTCAAGTACGGGTCACTGACACCTTTTCCAAACATAAAGTGTTGTGCATATTGTGACATTTTCTTGACTTTATAGATGATGATAAATGCTATAGCTATTGTGGTCAATAATAAAATCCATGTGTAATTGTCCAATGGCTTTCCGTACTTTTCAAATGAATTGAAATTTGCGCCCGGTGGAATGACAAATGCGATTGTTTGGACTATGTATGAGGATGTTGCATCAATGAACTTTAAACGATTTGCTTTCAGCCACAGGTCAGCGATCGCTAGGTCAGTTGAGCCATTAAGGAGTGTTTCTAGAGCACCTGAAGCTGTTCCGTTCTCATAGAGCACTCCTTCCTTTCCTAGAAGGGTGTGAAGTTGGTGGAAAAATTTTAAAAAATTTAAATAAAAATTTATAACCTCAAAAAACTTTCACCACATTCACACTTTATATCCTTACCAATATAAGTGAAATGAATTTGAAAATTTAATGCACCCGCAATTGTTTTAAGGAGCGTCATGTCTCTTCCATGAACGCTGTAACTTCCATTAGCTACTTGTTTCACAAATATGTATGGCTGTGCATCATTTGCGGTTGCAATATTAATTGGACAGTTCTGGAGATCTTTAAACTTGTTGGGAAAAAAGTCTAATGTAGAATTCATAAAATGTCCATTAAAAAATCGATTGATAGTCACTGGAGTTGTGTCACTGCAGTAATGCCGTTGAAATGGAAAGTATGTAACAACAGTCATGTCATTTTGTAAGACATTCACATTATACACGTTTGCATGCCATAAAATGTTGAAAATTTCTTCTATTTTATGACTTTCATGATAGTCCAAAAGAACGATGACTAGTGGATGATCGTGGTGCATTAAAACGTTCCTAGCATTCAATATTGCATCATAAATTGCCATAAAACTACTACAAATACTTATCATAATGATGTTGCATTTTTTATAGTTATAAACAGCTGAACTGTTTCGTAAATTTTCCATCTCAATTTGAAGTGAGACATTTTGACTCTGCGAACTTTCGTGTACAATGCTATTAACTGTATCCATGAAGGTGAAATTATTCAAGCAATTTGTCTCAAATATGATACTTGAGGTAATTTTATCACTACTTCCACAAATGTCGGTAATTATATTCACAATAGCATTTGTTAATTCACAATTATTACATGTTGTTGTGATGTTTATGGAAGTGCCACTACAAATTAATAGCAACATTTTGAAAAACATTTGTAACATTTTACGGTAGACGCGTCTGGTGGGCACAAAGTGGCTTAGACAACTGGAATACTATTGAAGGTGTGAAAAGAAAATGCCAAGGATGTCAAAGACTTTCTAGCTGTTCATTTTGATGTGATTTATGGGCTTGTGATTTACTTCAATCAATTATGTTAAGGCGGACCCTTGTAATGACTTTTTGGAAAACTTATTGAGGTTTTAATTGTTTTTTAAGGGGGACTTTAAAGCAAAAAAAAAAAAGTCCAGCCAGAAATAGGAAAATTTCGAAATTGGAGATTTGAACCAATGCAATTCAAGTAAGTCAACGCATAAGTAATGTGAGCTATAACTTGAATAATTTCGATTTAAATAATTTGATAAAAATGTCTTTAAAACTTTTTTTTTGAATTCCGTCCTTCGACTTTTCAAAGTAAATCTCACAAAAGTATCCTAATATTCCCCAAATCATTAATTGTAATAAATGTCATATTAGTCCATTGCAGTATTTATTGACATATAAATAATTAAATAAATATTTTTATGACAATCTGTCTGCGTCATGTTTACACTTCCTTTACAATAATTCTAAGAATTGTCTGAGTTTTTTGTCTTCTATTAATAAAATTCAGAAGATTGATTGCATAGGATTAATAAGCTATTACGGTAAAGGTAGGCTAGAGGCTATGAAATTAATCACTTTTATATTGTTTGGAGATTATTTATTGTCAATATTGTTAGATTTTTATAAATAAAATTTTAGTAATTCTGACATAATTTATGGTGGAATTTTTATGAGCATCGATTAATGCAGAGAAAGTTGGGTTTGAATTTTTAATTTTTCATAATGTTTGAAAATTCCAATTTGAGCGACTTCGTTAGAGATTATTGACACGCTCAGCAGATGTTAGAGGAACGAGACTAGTCCTCAAAATTCATATTAGCATTAAATCACCAAATAGACACTTAAATAAGCTAATATGCCCCAAAAGTCCAAAATTCTCATCAAAAACCCTGTAAGAATCTAAAATCGTCATCAGACGTAATCAAAATGTTTTAAAAAGGATTTAATTCAGCTATTATATGCGTAATAACAGATATGTACAATCACTGTCACATTAAATGCGTCCTTGAACGTGAAATATTAATATCAACCTCAGTATTCATAACATATAATACGACATGTCATCATCATCATCGTCATTCTCGTAATAATAAAATGATGCGTAGATATCTTCAACCTTAATGCTCTTGACGAGTTTCTAAGGACTTGTGGAGGATTTTCAAAAAACATTGTCGTAAATCTGTAAACATATGGCAGTAATTGAAGATTTAGATTGCTGTTGAGTGTAAGAAAATTGAAAATGTGATGAGTTTTTTTTTGAGACTAGAAGTTTGTCGAGAGATTTTAGAGTAACAGCGGATGTGAATAGAGTTTTGTAGACAATCTTCACTAGAATATTAGATGTTTGTATATTTATTCTAAGTATTTGAGCTTATAGCTAGCCAATTCAAACTTTTTATATTTATAGAAACAGCAATAACATGACCATCGTCCATAAAAATAAAACCAGCATAAGGACATCCGAGAATTTCAAAACTTTTCGTGTTCAAATGTATTTTTTATTCTGAATAATATTTTATGAATAAAAAATAAACTTTTTCCATAAAAACACAGCTTGATCAACCCTTATTTGCATTTGGGATATTAATCCATAGAAATACCAGCAGTTGCCAATAGAAATAACATTACACAAAAGGAAATACTGGTCAATTGAGGACTAAAAGTAAGTTTTATTTTTGAAAAATCATATGTGCAAGAAGTATAAGAAGTTGTAAGCACATTGAGCTCAATTTTATAGTCAAGTGCTGTTTTCGTTAAATTCTCTGAATTCTCATTCATAAAACTTTCATGAACATCTTTTTCCCCTATCATCATCATAACTTTATTAATTATCAACTCTACATCTTCATTTTAACTCCAAAACTATAAATATCTTATCACAGACCATCCAAAAACAGCCATACTCATATCTAAATGCCATTCCTAAATGATTTCCAATTTTATTGCTTTTAACAAAATGAACAAAAATGTTTGACTAATTAATTAATTACAGTGACAACAAAACAACATCAACGATACAATTTTTTGTATCCGATAACAAACTCGATAAAGAAAACAACAAAAGCGACTCCACAACCGAAAGTTAATAACTGAAAACTGCCCATTAATTGACTCAACGTGAGCGTTCGCGGATGGTTTATGTCTTCATTAAAATATTGGTAATTTGAATCGATAAAATTTGAGTGCCAAAATGTTATTAATCCAGCGGAATTGAAGAGATCGATTTTATTATTTAATGCATCAATTAGGAACGAATATTTTGGTGTATAAATCACAATTGGATTTGCTCTTACTCGTTCCTTGCAGATTTTTAAGTTATAATGAAATTTCTGATTCTGATAAAGTGCGATTTCCTTTCCAATAGCTACTGCGCCTCTGAATGACGAATTTCTTGTAGATAGCATAGCTTGATGACGTTCTTTTGTGGTTACTATTGTAGTTCTGAAAGGTGATATATTGATTAATACTTGAATTGATCAGATTTCAATAATACTTTTCAGCTCAGCTAATTTCAGCCATATATTGCTGAATTAAGCATGTTCAGCTGAATTGAATTCAACTCTATTAAGCTAAACTGAATTCAGCACTATTCAGCTATGCTGAATTCAGCACTATTCAGCTTAGCTGAATTCAGCGTTCCTCAGCAAATCCAAAATGATATTTACTGACCTTCCTTTCAGTCTCTCAAAATGAGACATCACTTCCATATTCAATGCAAGAATGTAAAATTTAAAATCTTTTTGATCAAAAATCTTTTCAATTGTCTGGATTTCTTTATGTTTAACGTTTGATCGCATAAACTTATACATTGAACCTTGATAAGCGTTTCTGATGATCAACGAGAATACCAAAAAGACAATAAGGATAAATCTTGAGAAATTTCTAGTTGGCAATCTATGTTGTGGGATTCCAAGCAATCCGGTCCACATATTCAGGTATTGATACCGAACTTTTCTCCCAAAAAAGAATTTTTGAACTTCTTTTGAGTGAAGTTTGATGATAAAAATGATAAAATATCCTGAAATAAAGCTTGCAAGCAATAAAATCCAAACTTGAATATTTAGTGGATAAACAAGTTTTTGAACAGAACTGAACTCCGATCCTGGAGGTACAACAAAAATTATATCATTTTCTAAATATGGTTTTGTAGCGCTGAAATATTTAATTCGATTTTTTGTCAGCCATAAATCGTTTATGGTCAAATCAGCACTTCCATTTTGGAGGAGCTTGAACATACCACCGGCCGTTCCATTGTCAGAAAGAAATCCTTTATCTTCCAATATCACGTAACTAATTCGAAAATTCAATGACTTTGATAATTCCTCAATTAAACTGATGTCACGCCCGCTATAATTTACATATCCATTCGGGTGTCTCACTATAAACACAAATGGTTCACTTCCAGTCGTAATAACTACACGTATGGGACAGTTTTGTAAATCTTTCAATTTATCTTGAGTTAAATGTGACATTGCATTTATAAAATTGCCATTTTTGTAGTAATTTACGACGACTGGTGATGTATTATTGCATGTGTTCTCTGTAAATGGCTCAAATGTGGTCACTGACATGCCACACGCTGAATCATCATCGATCGTGACAAGATTTGCATACAATATGAATTTCTTCCACAATTTCTGGAATATTTTTGTGGCGTTTAAGCGGAATGGGCTGGAATTTGGTTTTTTATAACTTTTAGGCTGAGTCATAAGAGTTGAAACTGTCATTAAGGATTTGTTGCTATCCAAGAATAAGAAATGCTTTCGATAATTGAATAAAAATGGAGTAATTATCTCATGAATTGTATCGAATTCATCCATTGAATTTATGATGATTAAACTACATGACCTGACTACTGCTTGGTCCATGTTCTCAAAGTTCTCAATGTGGACTGACATTTCTAAAGTTTTGGATATTTTCTCAACTAGATCGTTGACAAAATCATGATCAGTTTGCTCAACAGGAAATATTAGATATCCAGTATGGTCACTTTTTTCACAGATTTTGAGCATAATATCTGCAATTCCTTGAGCAAGACATTCCATTCTTGAAGATCTGAATGAGCTCCTAATCAATATTCTGTGGAATTTTTGGTCATCTTCCATTAAATTCTCAGCTTGCGTAAGTCTATCACTTATAGGATTTGAACTTTCATCCAACTTCTGCACTTTTGCATCTTCCAATGAGTCTCTCTCATTAATTTCCGATAGATCATTAACTTCACTACCAATTTGTCCATAACTCATATCCACGTCTCTGCCCATTCTTGACCCACATAAGCATTGCCAAAAAAGTGAAAATTGAATAATTAATTTACATAATTCGACGGAACAGCATGTCTTCGTGTGCATCAGGTTTTATTGACGCTTGATAAACGAATGCTATTAAAATGTTTACTGTACACGAGTTAATTATGGATATATTTTTTTTATGCTCCAAAGCTTCTTTCAACAGGTCATCAATAATAATAATTTTATTATTATAGAATTATGATGAATTTATTTTTTGTTTATATAATTAATTATAAACTTTTTTTGGATATCAATGTGTATTGTTTCTTGAGCTACCTAGAAATTTGTCTGCGCTGTTCGTTCGTGGATAGAATGAAATGAGAAAAATAAATAATAATTAAAACAACTCTTTATTTTGTGAGTGGATACTGAACGGGAGTGGAATTAATTATAATATTTTGGCTTTTATGCTTTGAGCTTTTGTTCTTTGGATATGTTTTAGTGGTTCTGAAGAGTTTTGTGTACGTTGGTTGGTACGGGAGGATTTTTTGATGAGTCATTTAGAATATTGATCGATACTTTGAAGTAAAACTATCGGAAATCAGTGCAGAATTTTGACGAACTTTTGGAAGAAATTGACAGATTTTTGGCGAATTTTTTTTTTTTGAGAAACTAGCTGACTTTTGAC